TGTCCTAGAACTCACTCTGTACATTAAGCTGTCCTGGAACTTACAGAGATCCCCCTGTCTCTGCCTCCTGAGTGGTGGGATCAAAGGTGTGCGCCACCACCATGTTCATTTGGTTTTTTTTTGCTGTTCACTTTCTCTAGCCAGCCTCTTTAAATTTAGTTTTATTTATTATTGTATTAGTGTTGTTGTGTATGGTGTGTGCACAGGCACATGAATGCCATAGTGTGTGTGTGTGTGTGTGTGTGTGTGTGTGTGTGTGTGTAGGTCAAAGGGCAACTTTGTGGAATCAGTTCCCTGTGCTCAAACTCAAGTAGTCAGACATGTGTGACAAATGATTTGCCCACTGAGCTATATCCCCAGCCTTCCAGCCTCACTTTTTAAATATTATATTTACTTATTATTATTGTGAGTGTTGGGGTGAGCTCATAGGTGTGAAGCTCAGAGCACAATTTCGTGGAGTCAGTTCTCTCCTTCCAGCTTTACATGGGTCCCCGAGCTCAGATGGCAATGGTTAAGGCCTGTGCAGCACATTTACCTACTGAGCCCTCTCACCAGCCCCTCAAGCTCCCTTTGCTACCACCCTCACCACGCTTGGCTGGGATTCTAGAGTCAGGTGGTTTCTCTGTTTCTTTTTTTTTTTTTTTGGTTTTTCGAGACAGGGTTTCTCTGTGTAGCCCTGGCTGTCCTGGAACACACTCTGTAGACCAGGCTGGCCTCGAACTCAGAAATCCGCCTGTCTCTGCCTCCCAAGTGCTGGGATTAAAGGCGTGCATCACCACCACCTGGCAGTTTCTCTGTTTCTTAAACATAAATATTCTTTTCCAGCTTCTGCAGTCACTGAACCCTGTCACACAAAAAAAGTTCAAAGCAGTGTTTCATTCCATAAGCTCATTATAAGTTCAAAACAACAGTTTCACACGGCCTCCTTTATCATGGTCCACACCTGTGGCCAAGTTCACCTTTTTAAAATTAAAACTTTGCTTAAATTTTATTTTCAAATTCATGTATATGGATGTGGGTGCGCATGGCCATGAGGGATATGAAGATCAGAGGACAACCTCAGGGTATGAAGGACAAAGATCACTGTCAGATGTCTTCCTTGACTCTCTATCTTTAAAAGAATTGTGTGTGTGTGTGTGTGTGTGTGTGTGTGTGTGCATATGTGTACATATGTGTGCCTGGTGCTCTTGGAGGCCAAAAGAGGGCATCAGATACCCTAAAATTAGAGTTACAGATAGTTGTGAGCTGTGTGTTGTAAAGTCTGGAAACCCAACCTGGGTCCTCTGCAAAAGGAGCAAATGGTCTTAAGCCCTGAGCCATCCTTCAGCCTTCCACCTTATTTTTTGAGACATGGTCTCTGCAAACCTAGAGTTCATTGACTTGGCTAGGCTGGCTTCCTATGAGGTCCAGAGACTATCTATCTCTGTTTTCTTTCATGCTGGGTTTCCAGATGCCTGCCCCAGCTTTTGCATGTTTCCTGGGGATCTGAACTCAGTCCTTATGTTTACATGGTAAGTACTTTACTGAGTCATCTCCTACCAAAGTAAATTAAAAAGTGATCTTATATGCATTGGTGTTTGGCCTACATACGTGGTTGCTCTTCTTGAAGACTTGGATTCAATTCCCTAACTACTGTCTAACAACTATCTTGTCATTCTGATTCCAGGGGATCTAATCCCTCTTCTGGCCTCCTTGGGCACTGTATACATGTGGTTCATGGAAAGACATTCAGGCAAACATAAAAAATAAATAAAATCTCAAAAAAATTAAGATAAAAATGGGGACTGGAGAGATGGCTCAATGAAGTGTTTGTCACACAAGCATGATGGCCTGAGCTCAATACTACCACGTGACAAAGCCAGGCATGGTGGAGCGTGCTTAACTGTAGCCCCGGGAAGGTGGAAACAAGGCCCACTAGGGCTGACTAGGCCAGTCTAGCCTACTCTTATCTCACTACAACCCACTGAGAGACCCAAGCTGGCCCACCCGACCTCTGCTCCATCTATGAACAACTGGAGCAAGTGAAGGGGACAGTCCTGCAGGATCTGAGCAGTAACAGGATATCCCGGGGAGGATCCAGTACTAATGGTGCAGCAGAAACCAGAGGCCTCAAACCAGATCAATGACTGCAATGAACATTCGCACGTAGAGTTGCATGGACAGAAAGGTGCTCTGTGAAGCACACTGCAGTTTCCATGGAGAGATGTTTTTTTAACTCATTAATTTTTCTTTTTTCTTTGTGGGAGAGGTTGCAATTATAGAGGGTGGATACAGAGGGATGGGGAAATGAGTGGGATTGGGCTGCACAATGTGAAATTCACAAAGAACCAATAAAAGAGACAGATGGAGAGAGACAGAAAGAGAGAGAGAGAGAGAGAGAGCCTGTCTCAAGGTGGATGGTGCCTGAAGAACAATACCCAAAGTTGTCCTCAAACACACACATACACACACACATACACACACACAAATACACACAGACACACACATACACACACACATACACACACACATACACAAAGTGAACTTCCACACCACAGGAAACTAGAAAAAATCAAGGTTTTTATTTTTTAAAAAACATTTTTTCCAGTACCATAGAATTAACCCATTTTTTTTTTTAAATTTCAAAGGCTAACGCTAGGGTGGAACAACCCACTCTCGTTGAAACAAACCCTCAGAGAACTGGAGAAGCGCTAGCCCATGCAAAAGGAATGTATAAATACTCACAGATCATGACCGATCACAACTGACACACAGCTCCTCTAGAGGAGCAGGGCGGGAGGACCGAGGGGAGGAGTAGGGAGAGGAGCAGAAAGGGGACCCTCCAGAGGCATGGACACACCCGTATCACTCAAAGCTCTGGCCTCAAGTCTACCTCCAAAGTCAGCTGCCCTACAGCCTGCCCTTTGCCCTTTCCCAGCCTTGTTTGGAGAACGGGCTTTCCACAGCATGTTGGCACAGCCACTTGTGACTTGGCACCTCTCATGAACCCCGGCTCAACCTAGCAAGGCTCAGAGAATGGATCTGTATGCTCACCTCTTGGCAGGGACCAGGGAGGGAAAGCACTGGGCAAGAGGATTGTTTCTATGGCAACATGATGAGAAAGAGTGAGAGAGGATGGTTAGTACAAAAGGATGGGTGGGCACTGGAGGATGGGCATTTGGCATGGTTCAGCCCTGGAAGGAGGACCAAATGGACACTGGGTTTCACCTGAGATGTAAAGATTTGATACAAACAACGTACAAGGCTGGGCTCCATGTTCAATCCTAGGAACCAGAATAGGGAGACGATGATGGAGAGACCTCCAGTCTAAGCTCAGGAAGTTGTCACCCACTGTCCCTCTCTCTAGTCCTGCTTAGATTTGTCCTTAATGAGACAACCACAGCCCTGCAATCATTTCCTCCGGGGTTTCCTCTGCTAGTCACCCTCCCAGCACAAGAGAGAAGGGAGAAGTGGCTGTTTGTTCTCAGCACCACTCCACTCATCACCTGTGCCTTTCCTTGATACCTCTGGCTTCCTCCCTAAGACCCTTCTAGAACCTTCAAAGGCACTGTCTTAGCAGATAAGAGTCCTGAGGAGATGAACAAGAGTTCTTTTTAGAAGAAAAGTAGATGGAGAAGATTGTCTCTGGCAAAGCCATCTGCGAGCACTGCTCTCACCACATACCTTCTTCTTCACCTGGTCCCTGCACGGAACCTAGCCCGTCGGGGCACGTCTACCTTACTATGATTTCCAGAATCCTATAGAGCGTCCTATAGCATGTGGACTGTGGGTCCATGGAATGAGTGAGCTCCACCACAAGGGCTCAACACTGCTGGATCCTGCTGCCCAGTCAAGCCACCCTGACAAGTGCGGTTGGCCACACAGGAAGTATGCCAGCCACAAGACCTTAAATCAAATTCCCTGCCTTCCTATTGCTAATGTCTAGGACCTTGGAAATGTCTGTGACCAATGGGAATAGACCTACTACCAACTACTAAAGTACCTGTTCCCCTTGTCCTACCAAAGATAGGGCTTCTCCAGAATGGGAGTTCTGGGACCTCCAATCTCAGCCCCACACGCTTCCTCTCCTACAGGTGGCATCTTCCCAAATTCAGTTAGACAGCTCTTCCAGGGTCAGCCCAGAGTCACAAGCTCAGCTCAGAACACTAAGATTGCTCTCTTGATAAGCTGTGCCATGAGCTCTCTTCTCCACATCCCAGCCTTCTCAAAGGCCCCAGTGCCTGGCTCCCTGAAGAAAAGTCCTGTGGGCACCCGAACAAAGGTTCTGAGAGGCCCAGTGAGATACCAGAACGCTGGGAGGCCGCAGAGCCCACAGAGGTGGTTTGTGCTTCTGTTATTTCCCCAACAACCTCCACCCCAACTCCCCTACAAGCACTAGAGTGTGTCGTCATGTGATAGCAAGCCACAATCCAGGTATCAAGGCATGCCCTTTATCCCCAGGGGTGGCCCCCCAGGGCTCTGTCGGTGTGCCAGAACCATTGCTTATAATAAAAAACAAGCCAATGCGCTCTCTACCGCTTAAGTGGCCGCTGAAGCTTAGTGTTCAGAACTCCTCAACTGATGAAAACACAGAAAAACAGTCTCACATTTCGTTTGAGTCCAAAAATTGTAGGAGCCAGTTAATCTGTAAACACGTACATCAGATCACTCGCTGAGGGAAGAGGTGTTGGGGGAGGGTCTGGAGGAAGGATCTAGAATGAGTTCTTCACACTCAGTCTCAGCACAGCCGCAGCATAAACCCCAGGAATCCTTGGTAGAGGCAGCACCCAGAGCATCCTTGGATAAGGTATGAGATGAAGACCTAGTGGCTGTTACCTGGACACGAAAAAGATGCCTACATAAGTGGAATGGCCTAGGGACCCTGCTCCTCTCAAGAGTGGCCCGGAGTGAGATCTGTGTACCCTGCACACATACCCAACCCTGCTCGGGGCCAAACTCAATCAGCAGCAGCCTGACCCTTACCTTCTTCTATCCCAAAGGTATTAGGAAGAGGAAGGGCCTTACCTGTCCCTTGGGAGTGGACTGCCCCAGTTCAGGGAACATAACTGCTGTTCCAGCCGGGAGATTCGGAATGCCAGATAGGACGAGGACAGGACTAGAAAGCAGAGCCTAGAGAAGCAGGGACAAGGGGGGCTTGACTCTTGTCTCGTTCTTGACTTTCTGCTTTTGTTTTGATTTCAAGATCTATTTGTATTCATGTGTGTGCAGGTACTCACAGAGGCCAGGAGAGGGCGTCAGATCACCCGTACCTGGAGTTACAGGTGGTAGTGAACTGTCTGCTAGGAGACACAACTGTACAGGATTAACTGCTGAGCCGTCTCTCCAGCCCCCGTTATGGTTTTTTGTTGCAACAAGGTTACAGGCAGTCCCGGCTGACCTCAGACAGGATCTGTAGTTGAGGATGACCTTCTGCTTCTACCTCCCAGTGGCTAGGATTATAGCCATGAGCAGTCTTGTCTCATTTATCCAGGACTGGGAATCAAACCCTAGCTGTATGCAGGCTAGGCCAGCACTCTATAACTGAGTGGTCCAGCCTGGCCTCAAATCCATGATCCTCCTGCCTTAGCCTCATGGTTCTAGCCATAAGCATCCCAGACCTGGCTAGGAGTTGGACGTTTTTCTAGAAGAAAGGGCATTGGTCTCCAGAGGCTTAGCAGAAATAGCACCAGAATTATCCTGTTTCCGGATTGGAGGGTTTAAAGAGTCCTTTGCTCCTGTTCATTGAACAGCAGACCCTGGCACGTTTTCTTAAAGCCCAAGAGGTGGCCTAAGGCTTGTCTTCTCAGAAATTCTAGCGAGCAGGAATTCAGGGCCCTTCGGGCGAGCTGTGGAGGAAGCCATAGCCAGACAACCGAAGCTATTATCCTACTTGCCCTCTTACTGGCCACCGCGGCTCTTCCTACCCTCCTTCTGGTGGCCATTTAGGGGATGTCAATTTCTAAAGCAGCAGGCCCATTCCCCTAGAGGGTCCGAGGTTATAAATCAAGCCTAGACACAGAGGATGTGATGATGAAGGGTTAACTACCTTGGGTGGACAGAAAAGTTGACTTAACACCTGTGGAAACTTCTAAACACCACATACTAAACCCACTGGTATCTGCCGCTTCTAGACTGCGGGGAACTGACCTGCAGGGCTCTTCCATCCCCAAAGTCCCACTTCCATAGAGACAGAGGCCCTTTAGCTGCTCTGGTCAAAGAAGAAATCTATCTGAGAGATGCTCATCTTCCACCCTCTACTCCCATATGGCCTCCATCAACTCCGTCTAACATTTGGTGCCAAAACCAGGAAGGGCTTTTGGGGTCCCACATCCCAGCCCCTTTCTCTTTGGGTGTCCTTCTCAAGCTCCCCTTACCCACCTCAGTCTTTTCTGACACCCACACCACCGAGCATACGGCTGCTCCCCAAGCTTACTGGGGATTAACAGACACCAATCTCAAGTTGAAACCTCTGAGTTTTTAGACCACCAAATAAATGAGTTTGGTCTTTTCCCTGCCTTTTCTTTTCTCCCCCACTCCCTTTACTGGCTTTCAAGGTGGAGAGCAGAGGTTCTTTGCCAACTGTCTACTGGGTTGCACCCACCACAACTCACAGGAAGGGAAGGTCTGACTGATGTCTTGTGTCTCAGACCAGGCCCTCTCCATAACTCTAGGAAATCTTTGGCTTTTTCACCTGATTTCCACAAGCAGGGGATACCTTCTTCTGCAAATCAGGCTCATCCCTCTCGCCATTCTCTGGTCCTAGATGACTTTGGGAATGACTATAAAGCCTTTCCCCGCCGCCCTGACCCCCGGTTCAAATGAGAGACCCTGCCTTAATACATAAGTTGGAGAGCAACCAGGAAAAACATCTAATGCTAACCAAGGGCTTTCATGTGTACAGGCATACACATGCACTCACATACATGTGAACATGCATACGTATACATATTAAACAATAGAAGTAAAGCAGGAGATGGATGCAGACCAGGCAGAGATCCTGGAAATTGTCCCGATGGTAGGCAGTGGGAGAACGTGTGTTTCCCTGGCTAGTGTTTCTCTCAGTGATCTGACAGGCTCCTCAATTCTGTTAACCCCTTCTCTCCCCCAAGCCAGGGAAGTGGCTGTTCCTTTTCTCAACGGTTTATACTGCCCCTTGTCATAGCACTGTCTGAATCCTAAATACAGGAACTCCGAAATAACCCTGGAAGGATGAGCCATAAGGCCGTCAGAAACCGCCCAAGAGCTTGAGTTGACTTGGAACATTTCCTTGGGTCTAGATAATAACCACTTCCCCCCTCTAGACCCCAATTTCAAACACCTAATTCACACCCAGTATAAACACCTACATCACAAAGATGACTTTGAGAAGCCGGGAATCCCACAGCCTCAGTTCCTGGTCCATGGTGGGCTCTTCCTCCAGTGCATCTTTCTCACAGACAGCCTCTGCAATAGGAGAACAGCTAAGCATCTTCTTGAGGCACAGGGGGCCCCAGTCAGAGCGGGGCAGCTCCCCCTCCCTTCATGTGGTCAAGTTTCTTGGGCTCTTGGACTTCCCATATGGATTTGGAGAAAGAAAGAAACAGCTCTCAGATGCCTGGCTGGTCATGCTGGGCCCCTTTGCGCAGAAGAGAAAGGGTTAAGCCTCTGCAAGCAGTTGCCATAGACAAGATCCTGAACTCACCAGACCCTGGAGGCTTCATGGAGTTTGGGAAGCAGCTATCTGTGGAGTCTGTGGGTATCTGAGAGACACAAGAGATGTTGTCTGGGAGTGACAGGGATGGGGAGGCTGAGTATCCTTTTCTCCACTTCACCTCAGGGATAAGGACTTCCTGCAGAGAAGACAGAACATAGGTATGCCTTGTCCTAAGGAGCCCACTCCAGGGTTATCAATATTTCCCCTGAAATTCCCAATCCAGATGCCACTCAGGAGTAGAATATAGCAACAACATGTCTCTCCTAGCTACTCTCAGGCTGTGGCATCCCTCTGCCAAAAACAGTCTTTTATGAATTAATAACTGTAAGTATATTGTTCAATATTATTACTAAAATGACATTTGGCTGAATTTTACATCACTTAAAATAATTTCAGCCGGGCAGTGGTGGTGCACGCCTTTAATCCCAGCACTTGGGAGTCAGAGGCAGGTGGATTTCTGAGTTCGAGGCCAGCCTGGTCTACAGAGTGAGTTCCAGGACAGTCAGGGCTACACAGAGAAACCCTGTCTCGAAAAACCAAAAAAATAAATAAATAAAATAATTTCAAACATATATACAATGCATTGTAACCATACAGACCCCATTTCCTTCTCTAAGACTTTCCCTTCCACCCAGCCGATCCTTTTTGTCTTCCCAACTAGCCCCCCTCCGACTTTCATGTCTGTTACGTTCTCATTGTTGAGTTTGAGTTCCTCCTACAAGCATGGGCAGCGTACCAGTAGTTAAACCACCAAAGAAAATAAGACTCCCTCCCCCAAAACAGTAACGTTGAAGTCCACGGGGAAGAAGTACAGCGGCTATGTTAGGTCAGAGAATCTGATACATGCTCAGATCTGAGTTCAAGATGACCTCGGATGGTCCAAACTAATCCAGGCTCTTAACCGTGAGCCACCCACTGACCTTGGCAGAGGTGACTTACAGTTCCTATCAGTACAACAGGGGACATCGCCTTCTGCCCCTTGCATGGTGTTCTGTATACTCCATGCTTGGCTAAATGCTTAATAGTTACTGAGGAGGTACCAAACACCTTGAGGCCGCTGTCACTCCATCTCTGCCCTCAAACTCAGCTCTCCCTACCCCAGGGCCTCAGCTCCCAGAGGAAACTGCTGGAGTCTCAGCAAGGTAGAAGTCTGGATTGTCAGTGCCAGCCTTGAAGTTCCTTTTGAAAAGGTTTTGTGTATGGAGGTCGAGGGGTGTGGGGGGGGGGGGAGTTGTCCGCTTGATGTCTGTGTAACCACATGTATTCAGCTAGCTTAGGAGAGGTAGGAAAAGGGTGTTGGATCCCCTGGGGCTGGAGTTACAGACGGTTGTGAGCCACCATGTAGATGCTGGGAATTGAACTCAGGTCCTCTACAAAAGCAGCAACCACTGAATGCTATTATCAACCACTGAGCCACCTCTGTAGCCTCTGGCCTTGGAGTTCTTCTCTAAGGATATGTCTGTGGCTTTGAAGGTCCTCCTTCCTTCAGCAAAAGAAACAATGGATGTTTGGCTCTGCATGCATTTGGTATAGGATTCAATCTGGTCCGTATTTGAAGGAGAGACTTCTAAGAGTCAGGATAGACTCTTAGAGAGAGCTAGTCTGCTAAGTACCCATTATGTGGTTTGCCTGGCATGTAGTCTAGGATACCCTCTGGCCCAGTGTGGCCGCTGGCTCTAGAACCTGGTGCCTTAATTCCACGTGGTAGTCCCAAAGTTTTGAAGGGCCCTGCTCACTCTTGGGCCCTTGCTCCCAGCCTCAGCTCTCACCGGGGACTCGCACTCGGCCTCCTCTGGAAATTTCCTTAGGCTCAGACTCTTCTTGCTGGAAGGCTGGGGAGGAAAGGGAACAGGCAAGATCAAACACAGGGAGACCCCTGTAAATAAGCTACTCGGTGTCAAGCAAAGCCCAGGTCACAGCGCTTGTTCAAGGTTAGGGGTATTTTGTCCTACTATAGATGGGCAGATCCCTCTCAACTAAATCATTTTCTCTGACCCTGCCCCCTCCCTACTTCTCCGTCACCTTGGCCAGAGGTCATACAGAGAAGCAGCCATACGTTCCTGTCTACTAAGGAGACATAGGTGAGGGCAAACGGACAGATGAGCACACGCAAGGACAAACCAAAAGATGTTCAGTGATGCACGGTCCAAATACAGCCTCTGGTGCTCTGAGCCCTGACATTCAGTCCCTCCCCCCTACCCCCACTCCCATTCCCTAGTGCTAGAGAGACAGGCTAATCTTCCCTAACTGCGTCTCCCAAGACCTGGGTGCAGTCTCCCAGTTCAACCCTCGCCTCTGGGGTCCATACCTGTAGGTGAGTGCAGACCCTCCTCAGTGTGTCATATACACTGTCCCGGGAAAGCAGAGACACAAAGACATACTGGGGCATGAAAAGAAAACAGAAAGTACTAGGGTGAGAGGGGACTTCTTAGTCTATGAGTTGGGGGGTAAACCCCTAAGATTATGGGGTCATGAGAACCAACAAGACCTCCCACCTGGGGAAGTTTCTCCTTTCTCATTAGCCTGAAACATGTGCTGGAAAGCTCCCTGGCAGGGACAAGGAAGGGTCTGGGAGTAGGCCAGTATCAGGCCTTGAATTTCTGGAGCTATGATGGGGAAAAGGACAGGAGATGTTGGCCCAGAAACTCACAGACCTTCTGGCTGGTGTTTGTGGTGATGGCTAGTCCATTGGGAAGAAGGCGTGCCATCTTGTGTTTTTTGATCAATTGCACAGATACCACAGGAATGACCACCTGAGAGAGAGGCGGGGGGCATGCTTTTCTCAGGACTTACCCCGCAAGGACACAGACCCTTAGCTCTCTGCACTGGCTTTCCATAGCTAGCACTCAGCCAATAATGTTTACCCTGTTGACGCCATGTTTGTGTGTGGTAGCGGGGGTGGGAGGCATCTAGACCTTCCACTTTCTCATTCAGGGTACCCTTCCAACTATCCCTCTCTCCCTGCCCCAGCCTTGATAACCCACTGCTTCAGATTTCAAGTCCCCTGAGCTGGCTCTTAGTGACTCCCCATAAAAATGACACTGCCCTCTGACCCTGACATTTCTGAGATACCTGAAGCTAGCATAATCTAGCTGTCAACTGTTCAGGCCAGATGTATGGTCAAGATCAGGCCTGTGTTTCAGAAGAACTTCTTCCCTGAACATGGGATGAGATATCTTGATACTGCTCATCCAACCAGTGAGCGGCCTCACCATGTGCTGAGCACACAGAGGAACAGGCAGGAATGGCTTGAGGCATGCCCACAGGACAGAGGACTGTCCCTTCCCTGGTCCAGGGCAGGGCCCTTCCTGGGTAATAGCAACCCTTACTACTCATTACTACCTTGATATCCTTGCCAAAGAGGCTGGCATGGAAGCAAAGCCAGTTGGGTGAGATATAGAGCCGACCGTGGAGAAGGAAGTCTCTCTGGAGGGCACAGGAACACACTGAGAAGTCACAGGAGAAAAACCAGCCATGAGTAAGGTTACCCCCAGAGAATCCATCTTTTCACCTGTCCTCAACCTCTCCTGTCCCCATCCCAAACAATCTAGCCACAAGTATTCAAAGGACCCTTCCAAGAATCCTGAGTGTCCCACCCCACCCCACCAGACTGCTAGATGTTTTCTCTTTCTCTATTACCCACGAGGTCTGAACAACTTCCAGCCCAGATCTCCAGCACTGGATTTCTGTTACCTCAGGATGAGGCTTTACCCTTCCAAGAAAAGAGGTTTAGATTGTGAAAATGTCCCTCCATGCTCAGTGAGAGGCCTGGGCAGGGGACAACACTCACCGATGAGAGGGGAACAGAAAGATGACAGTCTTAGCTTTCCTCAAGCGAACCTGCATAACTCAACTCCACATCCCAAACCACCCAACTCCTCATGTGTTTGAAGAAAAAAGGACCAAGTGCATCTAAATTGCTCCCGTATGTAAATTAAGCATAAAAATACCCCAAGTAGATGACCTGGGTGCTCACCAGCCATGGGCTGGAAACAGCTCACCTTTGAGAACCATCTCCTCCAAGGGGATATCTTTAAACAGCTTGTGGTATTGTTGGTTGTATTTGCTCAGTAGTGTCTGCAAACGTAAGACCCAGCTCTGTGAGACTGGAGGCTAGAGATCAGACCACCACAGGGCCTTGCTCCAGCCACCAGGAGGTAATGCCACAGGGACCCCCTGGAAACTTTGCCTGAAGCCTCTGGTAAACAGGTATGAAGTTCTAAGCCTAGCTCATCTCCTGTTAATGTTGAGCTCTGACAGGGAACCAGTGACTAAAGGGGACACATTATCCCCACCAAGGCAAGGGCACTTACTCAGGTCTCCTGGGTTCCTGCGGTAAGAGGCTTGTGGCCAAGGGGCCAATAGTGAGTTTGGGCATCCCAGGGCACTTCCCTCAGTGAGCAGGACAGAGGCAGCCCACACACACTTACCCCTTCCCGGCCATACTTCTTTATCTCTTCACCCTTTGAGCCTTCTGACCAGTGCAGACTGCAAAGGAGACATTCCATTCCAGGCACAAGAAACCCTTGAGTCCTGCCCAAGTATCCTCTCAGTGCCAAGTCTGCCCTGGCTTTGCCCCAGAAGACTGGAGCAGAGATTGGAGACTAAGGCCCTTCTCTAAGAAACACAGTAAGTGATAAGAACACAAGCACACCGCTCCTCTCTGGGGAAGGACACTCACAAGGCCCCCTTCTCAAGCAGATCTGAGTGCCACACCCACAAAGGTAAGCTTGGCCTGAGCATCGGCCTCTCAAGATGCTGAGTAGCAAAGACACTCCAATTTCTTTAGCCAAGGAGTAGGCAGAGGCACAAGCAATGTTGGTTTGGGGTTGTACACAATGGAAGAATTAGACTCACAGCTCCAGGGCCATGATCTGGACAGATCTACCCTCCTTGAAGCCTCCTTGGACAGCCTGCAGTTCCTCATTGAGACACTCAGTACACTCAACTGACTTACTGAGGTTACCGATCAGGAAAGAACTCGCTGAAATACAAAGCTTTGCCCTGGCCAGGTTGGCCCAAGGACAGGTGGGCAGGGTAGAGACTAGTAACCTGAGATGCCTGGCCCCTGCTAGGTCCCAACACACGGGGACAGGCTGGAGGGTGGGAGGAAGAGGCCTCAGCGGTCTGTGTCCAACCTACACGGCATGCTAAGGGATCCTGCCTCTCTGTCTCTGTCTCTCTCTGTCTCTCTGTCTCTGTCTCTGTCTCTCTCTCTCTCTCTCTCTCTCTCTCTCTCTGTCTCTCTCTCTCATTTGTATGTGTGCAGGTGTGTATGTATGTATGTATGCTTGTGTGTGTGTATACTTGTGTGTGTATATATACTTTTGTGCGTGTGCGTGTGCGTGTGCGTGTGCGTGTGCGTGTGCGTGTGTGTGTGTAAGCCAGATGGCAACCGTGAATGTCATCCTTAAGAACGCTATCCTCCTCTTTGGAGGCAGTGTCTCTCACCAGTCCAGTTAGGCTAGACTGGCTGTCCAGTAAACCTTGCAGACCCTCCTGTTCTAGCTCCGCAGCACCACACAAGACACAAACACACACCAACATAACTGGTCTTTTCCTTTTCACATGGGTGTTGGGATTGAACTCAGGTCCTCGTGCTTGGACAGACAAGCACTTTGCTGACTGAGGTGTCTCCCTAGCCCCTTAAGGTCCCCTTGGTCATCAGGTTATAGCCTGACAATTCCCACCCTTCCCTGTCTGGACTTATCTCTGATTGGGAAGGGGCCTCACCTGCTATCTGGGGGCTCCGGGACCTTTCCTGGTTTCTCTGTGCAGGGCACATGGCTCTTCAGAGGTGCCATCTTCCTGTGCATTTGTTGGTTGCTAGAGAGAAATGCTCCGGGTTAGAAAGGGAAATTTGGGGGCATCTTTTCCTATTAGTTCCACTGTGTTCAAGGCCGCTGCTCTGTCCCCTACCCTTTGATGTACAGGGTAAAGCTTAAGACGTCATAATTCGGAGCCTCCTTCGAATGCTGTGCCCATTAACCCAGTGACCAGCACTCCAAGAGGGAATTCATTTCTCCACGTCCTGGCACTAGCATGGGTCTCGTCGGCCTTTCTCACCCCTACCAATCTGATAGGCAAAAATACATCCTCTTCATTTGAATGTTGTCACTGATAGGTGTCTCCCACAGCACATCACCTAGAAACCTAAAGCTCAGTTAATGCCTGGCCCAGAACGAAAGAAAATCAGTCTGTCAGCCTCCTTTTAACTCCTAGGCAACTGCTAGTCCAGGCAGAGTGGAGCTCCTGCCCCACCCTAGAGGAAGGACGCAGACTTGTTCATGCTGAAAGCAGAAGTTTCAAAGGTGCCCAGGCAGCTACTGTAAACTCTCGGGTTCTGGGAAAGGCCGCTGTGCACAGGATCCTTTATCAAAAGTTAGAGATGTGCAAGGTGGCTTCCAGTCGGCCTAGCCGTGAGTGTAGCTAGGATGGGTGGGGCTCCCCCAGACTAGGAAGTGGTGGCCTCAGTCACCTTCAGACAGTTAGAGTACCTCAGCCATAATAGGCAAACTATTTCAAAAATGTCTCAACTCAGGAGGAAGAAGATATTCTTCTCCTGGGCAGGTGGGGCCCCTTAGGAGCCTCTGAGGTCCCACCTCTACCCAGCACTTTCACAGACTAGGGTTCCCCCCTTCCTGCTTTTCTATCAGTAAAGCCTGCATAGCCCCAACTGAGTGCGCTCAGGAGTTCTTAAGGAAGTGGGGTGGCCAAGAAGCAGGGTCAAGGCAGGGCAGTTCGAAGTCTAGGCTATGTAACAAGGTCCTGTGTACTGGTCCTACTGCATGTAAATAACCGGAATAAGCAGCTGTTAGCCGAAGCCTGAGAATCCCAAAGGCTCAGTCCCTCAGTTCCAAGGCAAAGCTCTCTTTTTTCAGGCTGGGAAGAGAGCTCAGTCTGTAAAGTATTTCTATGCAAATGGAAAGACAGGAAATCAAATCTGAGAAGCCACCTGAACACAGCAGGGGTGAGGCGCGCACACACACACACACACACACACACACACACACACACACACTGTAACCCCAGGAGGCATGGGGCACACACACTGTAACCCCAGGACTGGGGAAGCAGAGGCTCTCTGGGCAGTCAACCAAACCTACGAGGAAAGCTCCAGGACAATGAAAGACTCTGTCTCAAAACAGCAAGGTCAGCTCCTGAGGAACACGACCCAAGACGGATCTTTGGCCACCACACGTGTGCGCACATATGCATATGTACAACTGCAACATATGTGTGTGCACTTACATGCAAAGAAACACCTTGTCTTCTTTTTTTTTTAAGATTTATTCATTTTATGTATATGAGTACACTCTAGCTGTCTTCAGACACACCAGAAGAGGGCATTGGATCCCATTACAGATGGTTGTGAGCCACTGTGTAGTTGCTGGGAATTGAACTCAGGACCTCTGGAAGAGCAGACAGTGGTCTTGACCACTGAGCCATCTCCCCAGCCCCACACCTTGTCTTCTTTAAAATTACAGACTTAGTTCAAGGTCTCCCAGGACCCTTGGAGTTTTTTCACTCTGGCACCCTCTAACCACAATGCTGCATATGTCAGGAAACTTGACCCCAATAAGGGACAGGCCCTGGTCAGGGTTACATTGTAAAGGTCCAGGCAACCTCACTCATAAAACTGGCCTAGTCACATGTGAACTGGTGACCTCTGTACTCAACCTCACAGAGGGTTTGAGACATTCGTCACCATACACAGGTATACACTGCATGCTGTTTCAGCCAAAATGGTCAAGTCATATCTAGCTCCAAAAGATCACCCCACCCAGTAATGTCATAGGCATACTCTCCACCGTGTTTGCACACAGCAAAATCTATTCCTGACGCATTTTTTAGAATATTTCTCTGTGGTGAAATGAGACATGGTTATATATACTGAATGATAGGCTGTATATTTACTGAGTGACAGGCTGTATATTAGTGATTCTACCCTCGGGTGCTAAGTATGAAGCGTCTATAAATGATTGAAACTATCCCTTATAAAATTCCCTAATTGTTGGGAAGTAGTAGCACACACCTTTGATCCCAGCACTCAGGAGGCAGAGGCAGGTGGATCTCTGTGAGTTCAAGTCCAGCCTGGTCTACAGAACAGTTTCAGGACAGCCATGGCTACACAGAGAAACCCTGTCTTGAAACAAAAAAAAAACGAAAACAAAAACAAAAAAACAAAAAAAACCAAAAAAACCAAAACAAAAAAAAAAACCAAAGAATTCCCTAAGAGTTGCTGAGAGTGTGGTTCAGTTGGTAGCAGCTTGTAGGAGGTCTTGAGTTTGAGTCAGCCTGGACTCCATAACGCGAACTCTTTCAAAGAAGAGAAAGAGGAGGAGGAGACGAGTTATATTCAAGTCCTTTCTTTACCATGTTCTTAATCTTAAGCATAATGTGTGTTTTATATAAATTGATTACATAACACATAACGTTGCTTGGCTTCTGTTGTTTCTCGTGATTTCATAAGAAATTCTCCGCCATTTCCTCCTGAGACAGACTACCTGTCATGTCTGCTCGGTTTCTCTCTCTCTCTCTCTCTCTCTCTCTCTCTCTCTCTCTCTCTCGCTCTTTAGAGTCACCTTCCGTTTGCTATCTGCTATGCCAAGTAGCCCAGTGATCCTCACCAGAAGGAAGAGGTGTTCTCTACATCCAAGCCTTCTTTTGGAAATAGGCTTGTCTTCACCTTTGCTAATATTTTGATATCAACAAACATGTCCTTTTTCTATGGGGGTGGGGTGTTCTGTGCTTTTGGGTTTTGTTCTGCTGACAGAATGAACAGCTTACTTTCTTTCTTTAAAATGTTATTTACTCTGTCGGGGTGGGGCACATACCACCACACCTGTGTGGACTTCAGAGGACAACTTGTAGGAGTCAGTTCTGTATCATGTGGGTTCCAAGGGCTGAACTCAGGTCATTGGGTTCATTAAAGCAGGATACCAAGAGGAGTTTGGTGTGGCTTCAGGGGCGGAGCACCCACAGCCTCTTCCAAGAAGAAATTTGATAGTCAGTTGTAGGCACTAAGGAACGAAAGGTTTCCAGTTATAAAGTAAGAGCAGCTTTTATATGTGATTGGTAAGATGATGACAAGCCAGTCAGCAATCCTGCAATAATGCTTCTGGCCCGGGGACCCTGCCTAGGTGAGCAAACGCACACAGCGTCTAAACTCTTCAGCTCAGACTTCCTATTCACTAGGCATGGATTCTCCCCTCTAGTGCCTGTTTCAATGAATGAAGATTAAAAGCAAACTCAGGATACAGCTCAGTGGGTAGAGGAAAGCCCTACATCCCCAGCGCCACATATAATCCCAGCATACCTACAATTCCAGCACTCAGGAAGTAGAAGCAGGAAGAACAGAGCTTCAAGGTCATACTTAATTACATAGAGAATTCAAGACCAGCCTGGGATCTGTCTGGTAAGAATGGTGCGCCAGGAAGATGGGTCAGTGGGTAAAGGTACCTGCTGGCAAGACCAAAAACCTAAATTTGATCACTGGGACCCACACACTGGAAGGAGAAACAGGGTCTTATTCATCTACTTTATGTATATGAGTGCTGTCTGCATGCACACCAGAAGGAATCAGATCCCATTACAGATGGTTATGAGCCACCATGTGGTTGCTGGGAATTGAACTCAGGACCTCTGGAAGAGCAGGCAAGTGCTTTCGACCTCTGAACATCTCTCCAACCCCCATAAAACCATACTTTTTTATTGGTATTGTTTTTTGTTTGTTTGTTTGTTTGTTTGTTTTTTCAAGACAGGGTTGTATTGTGTAGCCTGTCCTAAAACTCACTCCATAGACCAGGCTGGCCTTGAACTCACAGAGATCTGCCTGCCTCTGCCTCCCAAATGTTGGGACTAAAGGTGTACAGCACTACCATCACGAGGCTGAGAATAGACTCTAGGAAATTGTCCTCTGACCTCAGAACCCATGCATATGCCTACATGCATGCACATACACATGTAAATAAATAAGAAAAAAATTAAAGTACAAGGAAGGAGACAGAGCTGGGCGGTGCAGCACAATCCTGTGATCCCAGCACTTGGGAGGCAGAGGCAAGGAATCCCAGCCTGGTCTTCCTCAGCAAGTTTCAAGGAAGCTCATACCAAGACTCTCAAAAGACAGAAAAGAGCTGGTGAGATGCCTCAGTAGATTAAGGAACCTCTAAGCCAGAGGACCTGAGTCTGATTCCTGGGAGCCACCTGCTAGGAGGAGAGAATTGATACCCACGAATTTCTCTCTGACATCCACACTCACGCAGAAGCACATGCATATCCCCTCATCACACACACACACGTGTGCATGTGTGCGTATATACACAAAGAAATGAATTAATAAAAATTAAATGCCATCTGAAGTCCGGGCAGGCCTGTCAGGCCATGGGGCGCCTGACAACTACTTGGATTTTGACCCAGAGGATCAGAAGGGCACAGTAGGAACGTGGTGCTCAACCCTCTCTCTGCCTGACTCTGCTGGCAGTTGATGCCCAGACATCTGTCACTGACTTTTTCCTGAAAGCAGTTTCTCATAGCCCAAGGGTCATAGGTAAAGGTCTACTATCTTCAGTGTTATCCCATGCCTGTGTTCCAACTGTGGAGTTAATATTAGGGTCTAGGATCCTGAAATCTGTCATTTTTTTTACATTGAAAACCTCATTTTTATCTTATGTGTAGATATGTATGCCTGAGTATGGTCTGTGCACTAATCCGGCGAGCGCTCTCCGCAGCTAGAGAGATCCCCTTGGTTCTACAGCTACATGTGCCTGGGAGCTGCCGGATGTGAGCACTGGGTCCTCTGCAAGAGCAGGACATGCTCTTAACCACTGAGCAACCTCTCCAGCCCCAAATCTGTATTTCTTCACTCAGAACCACAGTAATGAAAGGGATGGAACAGGGAAATGGTAACATCTTCCAACCTTAAAGGGAGGACCACGGACTGGAAAACTCAAACAAGGTCCTCTCCTGAGCTGAGCCAGGTCTAAAGCAGGCAAGCAAGCCTCACAGAGGACACAGCAGGGGTCTGCAGCAGGGGTCTGGAGCCCATGGGCAGGTCCAGAACTCCCGAACCCTCCCTCCCTTCCCTCTCTTCCTTTCTTCCTGGAAACTTACTGAGGTTATCACTGCTCCTGGTCTGGGGTCTAC